ATTTGTGTGACACCTTTATCATTTTTATTACACTTTAAGGGAACCAGTGACATTTCATGTCTTACAGCAGAGCTTTGCCTACCATCAATCTCAGCTGGAGCCCTATCAGCCAAAATGGCTCAGAATCTCTCTCTCTCTCTGTGTGTGTGTGTGTGTGTGTGTGTGTGTGTGTGTGTGTGTGTGTGTGTGTGTGTGTGTGTGTGTGTGCGCACACAAGTGTGTGGGCTTTAAAGGTTTCTCTATTGGTTGCAAATGAACAAGATTTTTTTAGGGTATTTTGTCCCTCATCAAAGTGTCCAATTATTCTAATTTAGCAAAAAAATTTTAAAACCTGTGGGGTGTTTGTATGGTAGCTCATTCCCACCACTCAGATTAAAAAAATCTCATAATTCTGATTTTGCTATGAGATCACGAAGTCACAATTATGGGATAATATATCATAATGGTCTCATAATTATGAGATAGCTCATTCAGAATCATGAGTTTAAAAAATCTTTGTTATCGGAGTGGCAGCAATGGGCTTCCATACATTGGGGTGCTTTTAGGTTTTAAAATACAGTTTTTTTCCCTCCATTTCAAAATAAATCTGCATCATTCCAGGGAAAAAGTGTGCTGTTGTGTTTTCAGCTGTATGCACACTTTTCTTTGGTGTATTTTGAGGTTTTGTTGGATTTGCTTTTAAAACGATCCATCGTGTGATGTTTTGGGGAAGCTGAATGATTGTAAGTCGCAGCACATTTTCCCTGCAGAATCTTGCTCTAGGAAACCAAGGTCATGCTGTTTGGGGATCACAATAAGCCACTATAAGAACATAAATCACCAGCAGGAATAAAGCACATATTTCAAACGCTAATCCCCCTTTAATCACCAGTTGAAGCTTATTATCTGCTGGTGATTTAGCACAAAAGGGTGCAGAGAGACACCTGCTTTCCAACGCTGCTGTTGTGACAACCTTGTGGCCGTGACATTGCTCCACATCTTTCAATTATCTTTACTGAAGTCTATAACCCACAATTACAATCACAAGCTTGCAGAGCTGCCGATCATCTGGTTGATCATCTGGAAACTGCCATTTTTGCAGCCTCTTTGAGCTAAATGCAGATTTTCCCATTGCAAATGACATTGTGCAAAAAGTTTAAGCTCATCGTCCACATTAGAAACACTGAATAAGGACTTCATTTCCTTCTGATTTAATGCCTCACTGAGCAGAAGTGACCCTGAATGAGTCTCACAGATGTCTATGTCTATTAATAAAACGGATTTAAAGAAAACTGTAAGTAAGAGTAACACAAGCTGTAAGCTTCCCCCTATAATTGTGGGCTCAAATTCAAAAAGATGGATTTTTGTGAATTATTCACCAAATCCCCTGCTTGGCATGTTCTTCCCCTGGCATCCGTCTTAAGCCGAGTTTAGATTAAATCTCCACTGACACTCCAGACAAAAGCTGAGATAAAAACAGGCTGAGACAAACACTGGGTGTGTGCACGGCTGGAGATTCATTAGGCTTCAATGGCCACTGGACTGAGAGCCTGACTTGGACTTGTTAAAACGGAGTCCTTTAACGCCTTTTAAATAAAGTGTTGTGGACACCGAGATGCAAAAACCAACACACAGCTTGCATCTTTGCACATTGATAATTGTCACAAGTACACAGATTTCCACATTGTATGCTGTGGTGTTTCAAGTTAAGTGGGTCAGAAAACATGAGTAAAAATTTAAACACAGTTTTTCATGTTTTTGTGTCAGAAATAAGTTTGTGCATCCGGTCTCAAACCAAATAAGTAACCTGGCTGAATATATAGTAGATAGAAAAAGGTAGACTTTGAACTCATCTCCAGATATTTTTCTGATGAGTGCAAAGTTTTGAATGCATCTGAGAGTGCAGACGGACTAAAAACAAACAAATACAAAAATCTTTACTAACACTTAAATGGCCAGCTGACATACACTTTACTGGCTAAAGAACTTTTTAGTTAATACCTTGGAATAGCCAATGTCCAAGCCACTTATGGGATAACTGATGTCCAAGTAACTTTAAAGTGAGTACTTTGATATCACTTTTGGAAAAATCTCAATTTTGTACCATTACAATCAACATTACACCCCCCCCCCCCCCCCACCCCATCTTGGGATGGGGAACTTGACCAGGAGATAGGATGTTTCAGTCCTCTCAGCTTTTGTGTCTCCATTCAAATCCAGCCCTTTCAGAACTTGCACAGACGTCAGCATATCATTACTGCTTTGGCAGTGAGTGATGTCACTGATTAGCCCCAAAAAGCACCCAAAGTAACATTAATAATAATAAAAGCATTTATTTTATACAAGTATATCATAATTTAATCCATTCAGAGGCCAAGAGCAGCTCAGAGTTTTATGAGACAAGCCCCGTTAATTAAGTCTGTGAGGGAATTTCTTTGAGTTTTCCGGTGTCGGGAGTTGGATTTTAAAAGCGATTGGTACTTCATTTTTCTTTGCCTCCATTCCGCTTCACCAGCTACTCCCCCAATTGTACTGCTGCAGGTTGTTTTGGATGTCTGCTGATGTCATTTCCTACTGAGTTACAACCAATCAGCGTGAGTTAACCGGAGGTTCTGCTCAGTCACTCCACCGGGCCATTCGGAGTACCAACTCCAGAGCAGGTGCTCAGAAGGTTCCTGAAAATGGCCCAAAAAACGGCCGTTCGGACGGCCCGGTCAGGTGGAGACAAGCACATGTCGGGAGGTTCCTGTAAGTTTACCCTGAAGTTCTTGTGGTGGAAACACGCCTGATGTCACCTGTTGTCCACCAGAATGACCTCACACTGAGGTGTGCCACTTGTGGAAGTTTCATTTGGTCCCTTTTCAACTCTTCATATTTTGACTGGGCCAGAAAAACTGGGCTGCCATACAACTTTTTAATGCAAAAACATCTGTGGGAGAAACCAATACTTGCATAAATGTTTTTTATTTATTTCTAAACAAAACTTGCTTCCCCCGTCTAATTCTATTCCATTCCCTAAAGTTAGAAAATCAGGTTGGACATGGAGGTAAAATCCAGACTATGTGCTATCACTTCATTTAATGGTATACTCCAATGAAGGAATTAAATACATCAATGAGTGTTACCTTTGTACATCAAACAAGTAAGATATAGTAATGTTTACTACCAAGTTTTATTAGCGAGTGACTGAACGTATCAGATGTACTCAGGATGCCAGATCGGGTAGGGGACCTGCGTTTGCCGGTGCCAAATTACAATGTTCCCCATTTCTTTAACCCTCCCACCATCCTAATGTAAAAACATGACCACAATTCAGACTCTACCAACAAAACCACTCTCAAAACAATCATTGTAAAAGAAATTGTGCATGCATGTATTTAATTAACACACTTGACTATTTATACAAAGTCTGATTCACACTGAGCACAGATGCAGTTTGGACTCCACATGGCTTCCACAAAGACCCAAAAATGCTGGATCCATTCAGAGCATTCTCACCGCGTGCGATGCGGAGCTCTGGAAAGTTTCCGCATAGAGTCCATTTTTTCCAGATTCCGTATGTGGATTGTCATGAAGTTAAAGTCGTTACATAAGCCAGACAGGAAGTGTGACTTGGTTCAGTGAGGTGCATCTGGTATATTTCATAATAAAACCTGTGTTGCATTAATTTTTACCAGTTTTTGTTTCATTATTAATAACAGGATTATTAGTGGTCTTGCTGGAGTAAACTTCTAAAGACAGTCAGAACATGAACCACAGTTGGAATGGATGGCAGTCTGTTCGGTGGCCATAGGGAAACCGGACCTCATCTGTTCAGTAATCAGTGTGAATCAGGCATCAGTGTTCAATTCTTCATGATAATTAATTTTAAGTTGAATATTAGCTATTTATTGAATAGTTATTTAACTCATTCACTGCCATTGATGACTAAAGTCGTCATTTTAGATCCAACCGTTCAATGCCAATGACGACTAAAGTCGTCATTTGCATTTTTTTTACTGCTTGAGCATCAGAACGAGCCCCCGCGCTGAGAGAACAAACATCTCAGCCCTGAAGCCGATCTTCATCCACATACGTCACATGTCACGTGATCAGGAAGCAGACCATCCATGTGTTAGGAGATCGTTTTGGGCCGTTCCTGTAAAAAAAGTGAGGCGCGAACCGGAAAAGCGTCTGCCGATCACAATTCAACAACAGATTATGAAAGAATGGATAACGCTCGAAAGACACGGATTCTTCCTGATGTAAGAGGTGAGTCTCCTCTTTGTTTTGGTTGTTTTGGCGTCGACATCATCCTAGCGCGCAACGTTCTGTGACTCTTAAAAAAACAGTAAAAACGGTGAGAAACGCTGGCAGCGAAGGCCGTTAGAGATCAGGAAACGGCTGGCAGTGCATGAGTTAAAATGGCACATCATTTCAATAAGAATTTTCCCTAAATGATTCTTCCATCCACAGACGATTTGTTTTTGCATCTTTATTTCACAAGTCTGATTAACTTTTCTTTTTTTTTTCTTTTTTTTTTTAAATTTCATCCTCGGCTTCAGGACTCAAACATAATAAAACATGTGAGTTTTTAAGATTTAACCCATTTAGTGCCAGGCTTTATTTAAAAAGAATTTGCACTGTAAAAAACACTACTGCCTGCACACAAAAGTGACCTCCAAAGGATAGTTTACTGTAAAAATAAATAAGCCAAAATGGCCCAAAAGAACCTACATCTACGAGTTTCCATTTAAATCTTTAGCAGGTCATGCACTTGCCCATTATAATCACTATCTGGCTAAACTATACTCTCAGTGTAAATGCTAAATGTTGGGATGTTTTGAGAAAGTTCATCAATAACTTGCACTATTATTACATTAAAGCATTGTACTTAAACCCTCTTTTCTCCTAATAAAATAAATGCAAAGAAATAAATGTTTGTTGCTGGTTCAGTAAAAATGGCAATAAAACTGAAAAGACTGAACAATAAATTAATTATTTTAAACCACTTAGATCATTATGACCTGTTCTAGACCCACCTGTCCTTGCCTGTCTCCTTCTTGAACAAATCATCAAACTGCAGCATCTTCTGCCAGGAGATGATGTAGACTCGGAGTTTGGGCAGCACCTGGTTCATCAGCCTCAGGTTGTTGTACACCAGCCCCTTCCCGTCATGCCTCATGTAGTTGCTGGGCCCCCAGAAGATGAACACTGAGTCCTGGCTAGCGTTGAGCAGCTCATGGCGGCTACGCAGGACGCGCTGCATGCTGGAGTGAGCAATGACCCGCAGGGAGGTGCGGCAGCCGACGTCACGAGCAAAAGCGCCGGCGGTGGGCGCATCATTCATGCGGATGACACACTCCGCCCGGTCAATCTCTCGACCCCGGCCTCCACCGATGAGGTGACCAGAGCTGGTCACCAGGGAGCAAGTTTGGCAGTGCATCCTGAGAGGCTGAAATATAACAAAAAACACAAACAGACAGATATTATAAATATAGCCTCCTGATTTCTTTTTGAGCACCAGACATGCTCTAAAGTTGTTGTTTTTTTCTGTGTCTGCTGGAATATGCAAAACGTGAAGCAAAGCTGAGAACCTTTATAGCGTTTGAGGCAGAAAATGTTTTATTTATTTATTTTACAGACAGCGACAGAGCCTCTAGGGCGTATGTAGCTGTCAGAGTGCGTTGTGAGTGGTGGAAGCCCCCGGGGGTCTCAAAGGATTCACCTTAAATTTCTCACACACGCGCGTGCACACGCGCACACGCACGCACACACACACACACACACACACACACACACACACACACACACACACACACACACACACACACACACACGCACGCACGCGCACACACACGCGCGCACACACACACACACACACACACACACACACACACACACACACACACACACACACACACACACACACACACACACACACACACACACACACACACACACACACACACACACACACACACACACACACACACACACACACACACACACACACACACACACACACACACACACACACACACACACACACACACACACACACACACACACACACACACACACACACACACACACACACACACACACACACACACACACACACACACACACATGCATGTTTACTTCAAGTTTGTCTCTCTGCTGCTTGAATTTCACATGAAAAGCTGATTTCAATACAGAATACATTTTAGTAACCGGATGTTGAATCACAACCATGTTCCTTGTGTACATTTATGATAAAAAGTGAACAAAATAAAGATATTTTTAAAGATTCAGACTAGATAAATCCATTGTGCAATTATTTACATTCCTTATTACTTTTTATTCTCTAAAGCATTAATGTTTACTTTAACATGCTGTTGACTCAAACGGATTATTTCCACATATAATCCGTATTTATTACTGAATGTTGCACCAATATGTACATAGACACCCTGCAAAGTTTTAATTTATTTTCAGTTTATATTTAGATTTTTTGTTGTACTTTTGCATGCTCATCTCATCTTATTATATTTAAAAAGTATAAAGCAAAGTAAGAATTTCCTTCTGAGTCTGTGGAACCATAAACAAGCACTTGATGAATTTATTTCAAAAGTAAAGCTCTTATTGGTGTTTTGTAGATTTTTAATTTCATATAGTTTTCAGCCACGGTGGCTGAAAACTAAAGTATGAGATGTGAATTTAGTTTTCACAAAGAAAATCTAAACTGTTGCAGCAAAAATGTAATAAAAACAACAAAATAAGAGTACAGAAAGAGGCAGGTTGTGTGTTTGATCTTTTTCCCTGCAGAGAAAGATGTTGTGAAATGTTTCTGCTGCAGGCAGAAAGGTTCTCCTGAGCTGGTTCATACAGCAGAGGAGACGAGGAACCTTCTGGCTAAAAACACAGCCGATCCATTGTGGGACTCCAGGTGAATCGGTCTCTTTAAATCAGTCTCTTTAAGCGGGGAAGGGGTGGGTGTGGGGGGTTAACGGGGGGACACCATCCCCCTCTACAAACTTTCACCCCAAAAACTGTTTAAGGTGGACAGATTGATGGATTAGTGCTGTGACTACAGCTCTGCAGCAGAAAAATAGCCAATTGCAAAGTTAAATTTCTCTCATAAAAACATTTATACCGGTGCCGACAGTTAAAATCCACAATGACCAAGAGAGCCGGCTTTGTAAAAACATCTCTCCTGGACATTCTTGAGACATTTTCCTAGGCACGCTCGGCTGTAGCCCCTGCTCCTCAATGCTGCGCAACCTCTTTTTCCATCATCGTTTGGGGACTCACAGGGACGCTGACAGGTGTGATGTCACTGCTGGGAGTCGGTGATGTAGTTTCCAGACCCAGAAATGACAATTTGGGATATTTTGTTCAGTAACGCAACACTCCAAATTCTCCTTTCTGTAAATCTCAGCTTTGTGCTCTTTTGAGTTTCTCCCCAGTCTCTTTAATACCTCCCAGTTGGGCTAAACCAAGTTCAACCTGCTCCGGTAGACCGCCCACTGAAACCTCCAGCTGCTGCTGTTCTTCATGACCTCTTTTGTCAGTAATAAACTCTTAGTATGACCCAGAACATCTGATCATCTTCATCTCCATTCACAATGTCTGCAAACAGAGCTGAGTGTACCTTGAAGTGAATCAGCAGCCCATCTTTAGTTTTAGAGCAGAAGACCCCAGAGGCACTGATTGCTTCTAGAACTGGAGGCAGCTGTATAGATACAGATTCAGTATATGTCATGACTCCATAGAGCTCCAGTCTGATGTAGACCACCTTATTTGGGGAGCGGACATTGGCCTGTAAGTGTGTGTGGACCGCTGGTCTGTGCCAGTTAGCCTAGCGTTGGCTCCTCTGTGTTGCATTTCCACTCTGATGTTGCTCCAGGCCTGCTCCTGGCTTCCTTCTGGACTTCAATGCATAAAAGTCCAAGCTCACCCAGTAGACTCAGCAGGTGTTTGTTGTTGCAAGTGGCTTTATCGCAAATTTCTAAGAGAATCTGTCATTTGTACACACGTCCCTTGTTTCTATTTAAACACAATTACACCGATCAGTTTCCAGGAGAGGGCGATGTGCGCAACAGTCATGCCATCATGGTAGCTATAAACCAAAACAGAGAAACAATAAACAGTGTTTAATACCTTCATCCTCACTTTTTTGCAGACTTTAAACAGTAACCAAGTGCACTGATTGAGGCTGAGCGACTGTTAAGTGATCTTCAGAGGACAGGCACTGTGACCGATTAATGGATCGGTGTTCGTCTTATACGTCCTGATTGCTGCAGAAAATGTGTCTCGACTTGGTCTCTGATGCTCCTGTGCACCCCTCCTGCTTTTTGAACATCAGTCTATTTCTTAGACTTTTAAACTTGTGTTTTGGTTGTTGCAGATGTATTAGCAATGCTTTTTTTTATTAATCTGCATTTTGATGCATATCTTATTTGCTTTACAGAGTAAAACCTGCCTATGTCTGCTCAGTTTGTAGGAAAACATCACATCCAGTGTCCTCTTCCTGTGTGCTTTAGGAGGTTTGAGTGAAACAACCCTGCAATATTTCAGCAGCCTTGAAAAGAAAAATCGTCTTTTTATTTATTTTTGAATAGCAAAGAGAAATCTATTACCTGCAAAGAAAGGGTTTTTGCAATTTTTGCTAAGAAAATACATGAAATTCCTTCACTAGCAGCAAGAATTTCTAATTGTCTCTTGGGTGAGTGTGTTGTATTTGAGCCATTGTGCAGATTTTAACGTGTAAAACTGAACTCTTATCACACTGGTCTGTGTTTTCTACCATTTCATTGTAACATGACATCTTTGTTTTTGTGCTTTTACCTTTTTGTTCTCTCTGAATAAAAGCACACTTATAAGATCAAACATGTTTCAGGCATTTGTACATAAAATCAAATGTTTGGCCTCTTTTCTTCACAGCGTGAGCAGAAATCATCATCGTGGACCCGTTCATGTACTGCTGTTCTACATTTTGCTGGCATGTTTGAGGCACCACACTTTGTCGTGCATGTGTGCACGTGTCGGGGGGTGGGGGGTGGTGGTGGTGGTGGGGGGGGGGGGGGGGGGGGGGACCTCTACTGAAAAGCAATAATATGCAAACCAGGCCTGCAGAGCTCTTTCATACGCCCTGAGAAACCACCCCAGCAGAATGGTGGCAGCTATTTACATTCCTACAGCTGTGACAACTTTCCATTTTCTTGGCTTTAACAAAAACAAATGATCATGGCGACAGCAGATGTACGTGGGAGTGGCAATGCGCAGATGTGTCATTATCATTATCATCTCCTGACTTTGACGTATTGGAAGATTAGCAGCAGTACAGACTCATCTTGCTAATGAGACCTGAAAGTGCTGCAGGAAGGGAAGCTGGAGACGGAGGAGAGGTGGGAAGGAAAGAAGTTAGAGACCACAGACGAACTAAGGGATGAATAGGAGGACAGAAGAGAAAGAGATATATGGGGCAAGTGAGAGCCACCTTGGTGCTGTGGTGTTTGATGAAATGTTGAGCTAATGAGGTCCTGGTGGTCTCTATCATCATCACCAGCAGCAGCAGCAGGAGCTGCAGCAGACATCCATTCCTCCCCCCAATGCCCTTCCCTCTCCCACCTGCCAGCATCTTGACAGTCAATCAGTGCGCAGCGCAGCGACACCAGCAGAGCAGGTCAGAAATCCCATTTTTACCCAGGAGCCTTTAAGTGGCTCCGCTCACCTCCTTCCAGCTTCCTTTGTTTCACAGAAAAGTTTGGTCAGCCTTTCTGGCTTCACTCCAGATTCTTCAGGGAGCTTGGTCGGGTTATTAGGAAGAAACGAGATGGTTCAGAGCAAGGCTCTCCATTTCCTCCAGAACCAGGCGACCCCTCCAATATGGCAATCAGAGATAAGGGATTCTCCAACGTACACAGGAAAAAGGTGCTCAGTTTAATAATTCACCCAATAAACGGTTTATAATTCAAGGCTCATTTATCATTTATGTATTCAATATCCCCGGCTTTGTTCCTCCTGACTGAACTAAATACCTTTGTTCATAATTAGAAGATTTGCTGCATCTGAAGTATTTTTTTTTTCCTGGTTCTGCTTGATCAAAGCGGTGATTTATAATGCAACCCAGGCCTAAATAATTGATTCTGATTAAAGTCGGGTTCGTTTCTCACAGGAGGTCAAATCGGACACGAAGAAGAAATCCAGGAAATATTCCCTCCACTGTGATGGAAAATAATCCATTTGTAGGTTAGTTCAATTGATATCACACTAAACAATCTTTCCCTCCAGAACACGGAAAAAGAAGGTTTTAGTTTTTACATTTTCTTTATTGTATGGATCTGCAAAGTTGCAAAACACTTTTTATAGATTAAATCGGCGTCTTTTATCAGCGTCTTTTATCAGGTGTGGCAGGGTCTCTTATTTGTCTTTGATGTTTATCAGCGAGTAGTTTCTTCTTTCAACATC